TTTCAATTTGAAATGTAGTGATTTCCTGCTGAATAATGAACAGCTTAACGTGCTAATTTACTGCATAAGTGCCCCATATTAGTGACATCTGTGTTGGTGACTTGAGCTTCTGTTTGAGTGAAACTGAAACAAGTTCAGAAGAGTTTTTGGTTGAACCAGTAGCTAAGTGCTCGGGGAGGTATCGTTCCAGTGACGTACAACCGGGCCCTTACTCTCTAGCCCTGAGAAGTATTTGGTCAAAAGGTCAACTTTCAGTGAGTTTAATAGGACTGTTCACTTACTTTGATCTGTGACATAAGGATAATATAAAAGTTGACCCCTTTCCCTCAGGTGGCCTCTGCTGAGTCAGATTCATGTACTGACCAAACTGCTTCCTGTTTGAACCTGCAGGTACGAAGCACAAGACGATGCTCGAGGCCAGGAGCGGCGTGGGATCCATCAAGTCTTTTCCTCGAGCAGGAGTCAAAAGCAAACTGGCTACATCCTCCAAATCATCCACAGGCCTGCAGAACAAAACGTTTTACTGTGAGACATGTGACGTACACGTCAACTCAGAGACTCAGCTAAAACAGGTGAGAGATATAAACGGAGCCCGAGACACTCGCTCAGCAGTAAACTAGAAAATGGATTTCTGTGTAAAATTGATCACAAGATCTTATTAAACAAGCAAAGCATACGGATTAGACTGACATAAAATCAAATTTTTTGTAATAATATGGCATTTTATTCATGTTCATCATGCAGTATAAATATCAAAGAAAATTAAAAGTCATCATCAACGTCTTTTTTTATTATTCAGTGAATCATTTGGGTTTTGAGGGAGCCGTCTAGAAATATTCTAATTTGTGAAAGGATTGATTTTATTTCCATATCTGTCAACCACATTCCCTGCATTTGGAAATGGAAATAAAACCCAGTGCATGACATATAAAAGCTAAATGAAACTTAGCTTCATATTTACATTGCTATTATTAAAAAAAAAAAAGGTCTGTTTGGAGGAGGTTTAGCACTTTGTTTGATGCCATTGTGACTTTATTAGATCAGACTGGGGGAGGATATATAATAAGTTAAAGTAAAAACAATATGTTTGATTGAATAAATGTGTATCCAAATGAGTCATTTCAGTTTAGGGGAAAGGAGGATGGCTAGACTGGAAAACTGACACAAACATTAGAACTTGTAAGTGCAATTTTTCTATGACTGCCTTTCACTAAGGGTACCACAGTGGTATTGTGGTTAATGTCAGTGGTTTGACTCTCCTCATCAGTTTGTTGTGCGTAGTTTGTGCCTACAGTGTCGTATGGACTGTTGAAGATCTGAAACACAGAATGCAGATAACGCAAACAAAAAACAAACTACTTTCAGCCGAATAAAGGTCAAAGACACAACAGAAGAGCAGAAAATCCTGGAAGATAAACACAAGAACTCAGATTATAAATAGTAAGCAAGGTAGCATGGAAAAGCATTCGCAGACAGCTCGACAAGGACAAAAGGAAACAAGGCTTTACATACA